ATGACACCAGGGACTGCCCCCAGTACTCCATTGTCAGAACAATTACCAACTGTCTCAGGAGGGGGAGGGGTGGGGAACATACATCTGTAACATGGCCCGCCATCATAATTATACACTGTCAACTGCAATTATAAATATTAGAATTAATAAAAAGGGAAGGAAGCCAAACTGGTAAAAATGTCTACTATGGAATCTAAGGTGTTCAAAAAGAGTGTTGCTTACTTGGCCTTCAAACCTTAATGCGCTGCCTGACACAAGCGGCTTCTTGCACAGCACACAGGCATCATTGAGAAGGTACCTATATTATAAATACAATAAAATTATACTGGTAGCATGTATTTCAGATTGCAGACCAGAATTGGTTCACACAGTGCATTTTTTCATGAATTTCATTTGTGAGTAGGGCACAGGGTTCCCAGTGGTTTAGACAGGGGCTGACAGTAGAGGTGGGTGTCCTTGTATACAATTTCTACTCAGAGAAACCACATACTTATTCAACAGCTAGTAAACTGGAGTTGTTGTTTTTTATTTKACTGTGAAAGATTAGTGAAAGACTAATAGTTAGTATCAAACTCTGAATCTATTGTTTTTGTTCTTTACCAACGGATACTAAATAAATAGTTATTTTTATTGCATGGTCAAATGAATATGACTCTAGCAGCACATGGCTAAGTGCCATGAATCATGTACAAGTAGACCAAATTTTTTAATGTTTTGGGACACTCAATGATATATTATAATGATAACAGTGTTTGATAATTACCTAGTTGGTACATTGTCTGTAGCATCAACAATCACRTCATAMCCAGAGATGATCTCAAGAGCATTTTGACTATTCAACTGACGATGATAAGTATTTATTGTTACACAGGAATTCAATCTGTGAAACAACACAACAAAACTTAGTCCAGAGTATTATAAGTGGATCATATTGTGACACATTAAATGAATATTGCAAATGATATAAAATTTAACTCATATAGCTGTAACTTACTCATTTAAAGACTGTTTGGCAGATTCTACTTTAGGCAAGTCTACCTTGGATTCAGAGTGTAAAACTTGCCGATGAAGATTACTTATTTCAACTGTATCATAATCAACTAAGCCAATACAACCTGTGAAAAACAAATACAGTCTTTCATATAGCTTAACACGTTCTTATAATCTCACTTCCATGGAGATGATRTTCATCAAAAAAAAGTACAAACATAACAAAGCTCAGATGACTGCAAGTATTTATAAACTTTTGTTTTGAATGCAAAACTGACTTTTACACAACACACACTTATAAATATAATCTTCACTGATATCTTAATCACTCTTATAGCAGAGATGACAAGTATCCAGCTTCTGACCACATCACGACTTCAATATTGACTGTTTTATAGCAAACAAAGACTCCTCACAGGTGGGTTTTGACACATGTTAAACCAAAAGATATTAGAAATGGATACTGGGATTTTGAAGAAGCCATACCTACTCCTGCTGCTGCCAAATGCAATGAAGAAGGACAACCAAGTCCACCAGCACCTACTATTAGCACTGAAGACTTTTTTAATTTAAACTGTCCTGTGATGATCAATACAATCAGAGAAAAAAAATGATCAATTCTCATAAATAATCACAACAATCTATACTTAATCCCTTGAATAAACTACAAAAAACCCCTACATATCCGCAATATGACATTAAGCATAATTCAAGTAAAAGTAACAGGCTACTGTCAGTGATTGTTAATATTGTTACCTCTTCAATAATTTTATCAGTGTTAGATCATAATGTATTCAAAAAACAGCTCAAAAAAGAAAGTTATCCATTCATGTAGGCAGATTTTAACGATAGAGCCTATCTCTTCATTTATATCCGCTTATCTTGTTCTAATTAATTCACGACATGTTTTGAATGAAGATGAACCAGCTGTTTTCATTATTTTTAAACAAAATCCCTTAAACTACACGGTTAATTGTGATTTTAATAAGTTAAGCTTACCTTGAACTCCTATTTCAGGGAGAATGAGCTGTCTGCTGTATCGTGCGATCTCGTTCTTGGTGAGTCTAGTTTGAAGTTTTGAGTATTGGTGATATCTTTGACATATATTTTCCTGTATATTTTAAACATTATTGCACGATCACCTTGATTTTATCGAGTTTTCATTACAAAAAGAAGAGAGGAATCGTACCTTTTCTCGCAATTTCGACTTTAAGTCTTCTACTTCTCGTATTTTATGAGCTAATTTTTGACGCAACTCTTGCACTTCGTCCGCCATTATTGTTGTTATCTGAGCCCGCAATCTTACTCGGACCAACAACACAGGAAACCCAAAAACTCGATCGGGTGAAATATCACCTTTTGAACGTTAATAACATTTCATCTCTAGTTTTCAGTTAACTGCTATTAACTGCTATTAACTAAATTGTTCAAATACTCCAAGCTATTTCCAGTTAGCTTAAATACATCTCATCCTCAGTAGCCCGGTTACATTAGTCAAAGCACAACGTTCACGTTTGTCAATTTTATTTTTGATTTTTTTTTAATTTGCAACCGATATACATCTGAATTCGCTAATACACATATTGTGGCAGTCTATAATCCCTTTTGTTGATGCCAAAACGCAAGCCCAGATGTCGACGACTTTGCATGGATCAGCGCTCTCGACTACGGCTCGATAAGTCTTTTGTGATGAGAGAAAGGTATAACTGTTGCTAGTATCGCGTCCACGATTCCTCGCCGTTAATGTTTTTATTTTATGTTAGATATCGACTTCGCTTTGAGGTTTACTCCTATCGCTTTTATCGTTTCAATGTTATTTTAAACCCGTTAAAAACCTCTAATTTGTTTAGAGTCAAGTAAAATGTAGTACAATGGTACTATTTCTCGTAATAAGATTCGATGCTTGGCTCGTTTCAGTTTGATATGCCARCCACAGAATATACTTGTTTCCAATGAATCAGTTCGAGAGAGTTTACAACATTGTTACAGAACACTTTTTTGCATGACAATCGAAAAAACATTCCGCTTGTTTGGAGTCACATGCCTGAATGCAGTTTTCTACGCGCGATGTRCATCGCATGCGACACCCTCCACCGGGGCACAGCTGAGTRCAGTTCTTTGCCTGACATTCCATTTCACAATTAGGTCCTCGGCAATCCTGAACGCACACGTTCGACTTGCAAACCATTGATTTACACTGACCATCTTCGCAAAYTTGATTGCAACGATTCAACGTGTAGCATCTAATGCTGCGGCAACTTCCCTCGTAGCAAAGCTGATCACATGAATGRAAGACTGCATAGTATCGCCTGCAGATGCAGCTTCGTTTTGTGTGGCAGTTTTGTTGACATTCTCCTGTTGTAACGAGACATTTTACTCGCGTTGGTAATGCAATGATTCTTGGTTTAATGTTTGATGTAAGACAACCACCAGCTTTGCATTCTGGGTAGCAAAGCTTMGCCTGACAGACAAGTTTGCAGTCACCACCSGCACAGAATTGGTGACACTTGTCAACGTTCGAAAGACAGCGCATTGTCGTCCGACCTCCACGAGATATTTGGTAGCAAGCTTTGGATTCGCATTCCATCTCGCACGAACCAGCAATGCATTCTTGCACACAGTATTCTGAATTGCATGAGTATCGAATGCAATTACCACCAGTGCATACCTGGTTGCACACTAACGGAGCYTTGCAAACAAATGAACAGTTCCCACCAGTGCAGAGCTGCAACGATCTCTCCGTGCGTCCATACAAGTTTGCAATCCGGCAATGGCCCTCAGTGCAGTTTTGTATACAAGTATCATCCTTTTCAGGCYCACTGCACACCCTCAGMGGTCGCAAAGTGTCATAGAAAGAGTGTATTCGGAGTGGCGTTTCTCTGTACGAGCAGTCACTYTCTTTACAAGATCGCTTACAGCTGTTTGCATTACAAAGCATCAGACACTTTCCTCCTACACACGTCTGTGAACAAAATTGCACACCAGCATTGCATCGCATTATGCATTTCCCAGAGGTGCATACTTGAAGACAGTGTTTCACGCCTGCGGGACACTCGATCTCACACCCGGACACTTCACATCGCTGGGAACACTTCTCTCCCGAGCACTTCATTTTACAACCACTCCTTGTACACTGCTGATTACAAACCCTTGATGTGCAATATGAAGTAACACCACGTCCACCGATAATTGTCTGATTGCATAATT